AATATATAATTCACCCAATGTTAATCGACAATGTAACTCGATCCTCGTGTCACTCAGTGAGACGCAATAGCGTAAAATGAGTCAGAGAGGATTTTTTTCCCCTGATGCAAGGAATACAAGCATGTTTCTTGAATACAGAGAAATATACAGTAATCTGTAACAATTTTCCCCAATTTGTCCCGTACACAAAGAGACTCGTCAACGTGGCACGCGAACGCGTCAGATTCGTTCAGGCACAATCGCGATCGCGTTGCATAACGCGATCGGCGTCACGCGGCAGCTGCATCACGCGTCGGAATATACACAACTTTTCTGCCGAGACTGCATAAAATAATACTGCCCGGCGATTGGATCGTAAAGTAAAGCGCGGGTCGAGCCGCGGCATTGAACCGTGAAGTCGATCGACCGCGTCCGCGACCACCAACGTCGTCGGCGTCGCGCGACGAGACGAGACGAGACGAGACGAGACGAGACGAGAAATTCCGCCTGGCCGTCGCGACGGCCGAGTTTATTCCGTGCGATCGCGCACCCGAGAGAGGCTCGCTCGAATGGATCATCGCGAGACCGTAATACTTGATTTCCCACGTGGCCACGGTGCGGGCGCGCTATCTCTCACAATCGCGGGCAGCTGCAGGGTCGATTAATTGCCCGTTTCTCACCACTAACCCTGCCCCGTCCTCAAAGAAAGAATCACCACCGCCGCCTAGAAGACGCTTAATTGTCGCGTCACGCGAGTAAAGTCGGACGTAGCCACTTGTAGAAACGTGTCGGACGGGATCTGATTGTCTAAATCTTCTGGCACGAGTATGCGTGGAATACGTTCGACGGAATTTCCTGGGGGCTCGTAAATATTTTTTCCCTTCTCTTTTTAAGGAAAGATTTTCCATTAACTTCCTGTACAACCAGATTTATCGTGCGACAAGTAAAATATTGACTCGAGAACGCTCGTCGCGAAAATTTCCTCGGCGAGCGGCCCGCATCGAATTCTGAACGTTCGATGTTTCAAACGGGTCTGCTGGCAGGCACCGCAAAATTCCGGGAAAAAAGAAAATTTATGTCCCGTGCCTCTCCAAGGGTTCGTGATGTAACAATGTTGGAATAGCCCCGGCTAGGCTTTGCTCTTCTCGCCTACTGTTATCCCGAAATTGAAAACAACTGCCGCGGAACTAAACATTCCGCTCAGCATTGCTCTCTACATTGCATGCATAACGTTACTTGAATTACGAGGCACAGGGCCGCAACGGTGCAAATTATGTACCACATCTGGATTAAACCGAGAGACGTCGGAAGATATTGCATTCCTAATGGGAAACATCAACCGCCGAGAGCTACTTGTCAAATATCTCGTCAGATTAAAAGAAAAAAAATATATATTCTTCACAGCTGTGCAATTGATTAAAGGCCTATTGCTCTTTGACTTCGAGTCAATAGTACCAAATAAAATAAGATTATTTTTAACCGAAAAATAAATTAAAAATAATAATATAATAATTTCTAATTTTGCCATTTTTCTCGAACGTACGATATAAAATAGGGATGAGAAATTACACAATGTAATAAATTGTCCGTTCAGTAATTTCTTTCAATGCATCGAAACCGGTTTCTCTGAAATGTCAATTTTATAATCGTATCAATGCGAAATCGCTCGTCGAACAAAAATTTATCTTCCGAGTCGACAAGCGTGAAGTCTTCATTACGCGATGGATTATTCGAGGAGAGGGAGGGGTAGGGGGAGGGAGTGGAGGGCGAGAGAGAGAGAGAGACGAAGAAAAATGTGTCGTTTAGAAAAGGCGGTCGAGCGTGTTCTCTCTAATGTAGGTTATCGTCAACTTCGTGCCGATACCAGTCGTGTGTCGCATTAAAAATGTGATATCGATAACGAACAAAACCAATATTTTTCGTTCGCATTCGAAAGCACTGCCATTCGTTATCGTAACAAACATGGAAATGAGCAAGTGCGCGAGAGACGCGGTAGACACGTCTCTCTGTACAAACCTGTGTTCTATTCAAACAGAATCATCGGACCGTTACAACACACCGTATCGCTTGACACACGTGATTTTATTTTTCACACGCACAAAACAATACTCCGCTCGTCATCGGGAATGTTGGCTGTTGCAAATCGTGAGACGTTACAACATAGCGAAAATAGCGATGCGCTAAAACGCATTAGTAAAAACAAGTTGAAGAAGACATCGTTAGATAATTCTACTGCTATAAAAAAAAAAATATCTACTGCTATAAAAAAAATTATCTTCAAATTTGCAATGAACAATGAATTAAAGTAATGAAATTATTAAAATAATTTTAATCGTTAGAAATTGGCAACCGTGTTTTTTTTTTTCCGAAAGAACGCGTAATTTTACTGTGATCAATGATGCAAGCGATTGCAATAAAATGTACAATCAATTGGCATTTTCCAACGCACTATTCTATTTTTTTCGATTACGGATAAAAAATCGCGCAGAACGGGCTCGTCACTCGTCAGAATGAGAGTGCAGTGAAGTGGGTCGATCTCGGCGTTTCGATAAAACTTCAAAACGCAGCCGTGTTGCACGCCCGAAATTGCGACTAAAATGCGGTCACGCCAAACGATCGAAATACACTCCAATGCCTCGGTTGAATTAGCTAAACGCGACACCGGGCAAGAGGCTTATCAATAATCAATGTACATGACCCATCACTATGTATTTCCCCTTCTCCTCTTTACAATACCGCATTAATTCGTCAGCCACCGTCATGTACACCTCTAATGACAGCCGACTTTATTCAAATCGCATCGTTTAAATAATCGAATCGGGTCACAATCAGATCGATGAAACTCGACTATTATAATGAGATAAACATTCTGCTATGAAATTAATATAACTCTGGAACTATTGTGCGAAAGCTCGCTATTATCGATATTAACGATTTTCATATGTAAAATTCTACAATTTGTAAAACATATACCTGAACAAATAGAGAGAAAAATAGAATGAAAGAGAGAAATAAAGATGTAAATTTTTTTTTTGTTAAAAGAAAATTAAACATTCTCTTTTTCACATTTACCTATAAATCGAGAACGCGGGAATGAAACAGAACCTTTGTCAAATCATCGCCGGATTAACCCTTGTCTTGCGGTCAAGCGGATCGCAGTTGTGAAATCCTATCTTAATCCCTGAGTACGAAAAAATTATTCCCCCTAGGATCTACGTAAACTGCTGTGAGGGGCGAAAATCGATAATCTCCTCTACCATTTCCCTCCGATCTGGTCTCGTTTATCGTTATCACTGTCTGGAAACGGCGAATGCTTCCTCGGGAGGGTGCGGACAATTCTTACAAGTCGCGGCGATAAAGTGGATGGGAAGATAAGACATTGCCGTAGGAATAAAGGGGAATGTCTCGAGACGGGGGTTGGAAATGGGTGGTGGACTGCTCGCGGAAGAACGCGCGTCATCGTCTTTCTCTCTCTTTCCTCAAATTGCATGCAGCGGTGAGAAATCGCATACGGTATTCCGATGGAGTCGCGCCCAACCGAACGACGACTTGCCGCGTGTATATACGTACGTCACCGGTGAATCAATGTGGTATTACGAACGAGAGGAAGAGTCACGTAATCGGAAACGATTTACTCCTACACATATCTCACCCCGTACCTCACTTATCTTCCCGTGTCGCGTGTCGAAGAGACGAGAGAGAGAGAGAGAGAGAGAGAGAAGAGAGAGACCGACGGGAGAGCGTCGTTCTCGTTCCCTCGCCGAGAGCGTGTTCAGGAACG